GGTACTGTTTACACATGAACTGATGTCTTGTAGAACAAATTCGTACCGTTGAAAAGATTATTCTCATGAATTCAATAAATAGTGAAACTGAGTGAAAATTGGCGAATTCTTAACAAAACTCAACGCCAAAACACAGCTGTTCACATGCACGATATTTGCACCTGCTTTTCAGCAATTTGATGCATGATCCTCGTGCAACCCATCTGCATAAGGTTTGCAGTTGGTTCTCCCAAGGTAGTGGAGAAATCCATCGTTACCATATATATATAACATAAAGTGAGTTCTTTAAGTGAGTCTAAACTTTTGATGGGTAGTTTATTTCTGAGTGTAGCTTTATAGAAAAACGACAGACGAACAAACCTCAAATATTTATTTTTTTTTATTGTTGACCTGTGTTGTGTCTTTAACGCTCATATATAATTGACGTTATTGATTCCAGGGTTTGCCACAACTAGGTTAGTTGCCTGATAATGACATTATATATCCATCAGGGCCCATGGTAACGGCAAATCACGCCAACTGCCAACCCCAAGTTTTGATGACCACTCAACACGACATGACCTTGGCCAGCATTGATACTAATTGCTGGAAGTTGGCAATATGTTACATAAAACAACTAAGTGGCAGTTGAGAACATTGTATAACTTGTTATATAATGCGTACATATTTTTGTAACTGAGTTCAACGTCCCTTGAACATTCTTCTTGAGCGCCTGATATCCACCTCAAAGATACCCAGTTGCGTTAAGGACAATAATGATTTTATCCCGGTTAACTCCAGCTGAATGAGAAGGTTTACAGTCATGTGATCATCTTATCCCATCAGGTACCCATTGACTGCTGGGTAAACAGAGGCAATTTTGAACAATCTCACTAGCCTGAGGTGTGATCGCATGTGTAACGTGTGCTTCGTTGTGAGGCAAGACTGGAGTCCGAGAAACTCTCCGGGGTCAAGCTACAAGGTCACACGTGCATGGCTTCCGTGACCAACGTTGCTTAATTTCAACTGATCTGTCACCCTGGTTCTATGCACATGTCCACACAACACAAGACAACACACTCTGACAACTATACTGAGGAAAACAAATAAGGTAACACCACTTCATGGCACTGTGTTAGTGTTTATTCTTAGATTTCCTCCCGCTATTCAAAGCAGGTGACGAATACTGGAACATATTCATGGAACACTTGAATTTTCCTGTGTTCCTTTATTTGTTTCTCTCAGTATATATTATGAAGTATCAGAGGAAAGCCCGAAGTGATCCAGGCTCTTAACGGAAAATACTTTGACGAAACCATCAAACACGAGCATATAGCTGTCAAACCTAGAAACACAGTCACGGCGAACCAAACTTACAATCCTAGGTTCCTGGCGTCCCAAGGGAACGCAACTCTGCAAAGCGTACCGCTGTGCAATAGACCGACTGTTCCCCGATAAGGTTTTGTGCACCATACACGTGTTCTTGTTCAACTGCGCACACGGTGATATTCCAACCGTATGGCACTCGTCCTGTAAATAATCGAGTCTGGACCAGACAATCTATGACTGACATTGCGAACATCGACACTGTTGAAGAAGGAATGAAAGTGTCTCTCTGACGTTGACATTTTGAGTTGCAAATTCTTATAAAGTTGTTCTCTACGTAACAATGTACAATCAAAGCGTAAATGAAGTTTCTGTTCATATTACAATAAAACCAAACGAGAAGAAGAAGATAAGGAAAAAACCCAACACTTTATTACCCTGAATGGGAATTTGCTGTACATCATTACAGAGCACACATATGAATATAGGATAAATAAGATAAATAAAAGAGCGTTTCTCCCAGGTAAACGATCTTTTAATGTTATTAAATTATTGAACATAGGTTAAAAATATGCAGGTAAAACGGTTACGATTAATATAACAACAACAATGTACATATACAGGTTAAGATAAGATTTGTATGTAAATATCATTTATTGTTTAAAAAGCCAATGCTGGACGTTAGAGCGATTTCAGGGCTCTATTTGATTTCAATTTGGGAATTTGGAAACGTCTGCCAAAAGGTAAAAGTTTATATTCTGTGTTTAAAATGTGTCAGGAGTCATGTAAAATTATATTTGCCAAAGTTAAGCTCTTTCCTCATACGCGTAAGCCAAAGGGTCGAAATCCAGATTTGTGATTTTACTGCTTAAGTTGACGATTTTGAGGAGTTTGTTTCGGTTTTGAACTGATAGGGATCCATACAAGCACTGGATTTAACAGGTTAAGACACTTTGAATACAACTGCGATAAACCAGTGAAAGAATAGTTTTGTCAACATTAAAAGAGCGACGTTTCCACAAGAAATATAAACGTTGTTGACCCTTTTTGTATAAATCATCTGTGTTATCATTCTAGTTCAATTTGTCATCAATTATTGTCCCAAGATATTGGTAGTTCTTGACAATTTTAACATGGACAGTGACTGGTAAATGCACAGGCTTACGTGTTCTGAAATCAATAGTCATCTGAAATCAATCTGAAATCAATAGTCATCTCTTTAGTTTTGGACACATTGAGCACAATGAGAACCCAATGCTGCAGCAGCATCACTTGTTGTCTACTGGCCATTTATTGAGACGACACAAGATATGATGGTATTGAAGTAGAGTATACAAAGTACGAATGGAATGCTTGCATACTTCCAGTTGGTTAACCAGCTTCGGGTTGAATAGTCGTCAACCTAACTCGCACATTAAGATATACGAGGCCTTCACGAATACGGTATCAAAATGCATTATTTCTGATCAAGCAATGCTGTCACACATGAGGTTTTAATATCACATATTGCTATACGACTCATGATACCTCCAGATTACACGACGCATAATTGAAATAAGAACCGAACGCGTGTGGTATTTCAAACCCATCGCCATCAGATATATGCTTGTAGCATAGCACACTGAAAAGTTGTATGTTTACTTTCCGTGTACCATGACACGGTGTTTGGGAGGACAGTGACTGAAATGACGTTTTGTTAATGTTTAGAGTTGTTTATGATTTAACTTAAGGATAATAACCTTTAATCTATATCGCTGCATACAATTCGATTTGGCACGAATACCCTAAATTAAAATGCATTGTGGCACTACAGTGTGGACACAACTCACTTTGAAACTTTAAGCGAACATTTTTACGTCCTGCCTTGGTATTAAGCTGCAGTAGGCACATCTATGACATAACAGTGATCTAACGTTTCAGAAGCCATTGTTCTGTGCTCTCTTGGTCCGTATTTTCTCTCGTTGTCTGTCCCAAATTCAGTGCTAAACAAACCTAAAATGCAGGCACCCGAACTGAACATTTTCTATACAAAATAGTGCATATTACATATATTTGCTTACATCTAAAATCTGATTACCAACCATGCTTAATGATTTGGCTTTGCTTGACTTTGCTGTGTACTACTATTTGTCTATGTAAACCTCCGAAAGACGGGCGAATGTCAGTAGTCCAAGGTTTTAAAATACTCTCTGTAAATTGAGTTCCATCGTGTTTTCTATAAATGTTGCCCTGCTCGCGCACTTTGAATACTCCGGGAAGTCAAACTTGCTAATAGCTCTTGCTAAAACATGAACTAACATATACAGACACCGTTGTGTCGAAACTGAAGGAACCTCAGTAAATACGTTGAGTAATCGAATGTTCCGCAAAATGAAGACTAAATTAAGGATACACCGGGACCAAGCTCTTACATCGATACATCCATAAGTTCGATATGTCGAGGAAAGTGAGCGTATACTGCAGGACCATGCCCAACTGTATCTCAACGGTAGAGAAATGTCGACACAAGTGTCTGAAGCCTCTTGCTGGAATATTGCTTAAATAGAAACATGGGTATTTGAAAGTAAGAATGATACTTTTTAGTTTTGTGAGCAGTTCTTTTCTCACTTTGAAATATTTTTAATGTTTTCAATTAACAAACAGAAGAGACGGTCTCACTGACTACCTATATATGCAGTTCCTATCACTCTACCAGTGGAAAGCAATTGGTTATTTGTTATTGAACGATATCGATCAACGGTAGACGTCTAGTTATGTTAAACATCTTGGTAAAATGACCTTGCACTGACTTTGCCAATTTGAAATCATCTTGCATTAAAACATACCATCAGATAATGCAATCTGATTCTCGTATTTTTAATATGTATTGAAAACAGAAATAGATTGAAAACAGAAATAGATATTTCATCAGAAATGAAAACACTGTATAATTCAACGAAAAGGGTCTTTGTATTGGAAACCAAATATATCAAGCAGAGTTTTATTTTCTTCCAGTTTGTAATAAGCGTTCCTGCAACATCTTATATACATGTATTACGTCTGACCAATGATAATCTGTCGATCAATCAGCCATTTCAAAGCAACATAATACGTTCCTTGCTATTACAAAAGTCAAATCCAAGCAACCAAATAACATGGCTTCATGACAAGAAGACTTTCAGAAGCTACGGAATGCGCTATTACAAACCTTTGATCAACAGAAATGAAGAGGGTGACATCTCGACTGCCGCTGAAGATGTAATCGACGAATTGACTTTTTAAAAATTGTATTGATCAGCTTGTCTAAACGTTTTGATTTCCATTCGTCCCATACATTTAGCCTCATGACTTGTGCTATTTGTAATTCTCACTGTTAATTATTATCCAGCTATCTGTGTTCTACGTGGTAGTATTAATCTGCTGCTTATAACGTATCATCATGCATACATTCCCACTATCAATTGGTGTTTGTCACAGAGATGATGGTTTGAGAATCTACACATACACACATCCTCGATAATCTCTAGGGTATACGTTCCGATAAATCTCCACTAGTACCCTGTATGCATCTACGGCTCGGCCCGATAATTGTATTACCTCCCTTTGCTGGCTGTGCCTTCTCACAGTAGCCAATCAGAAAAACCGTTACAACCCAGCTCGCCAGTGTCAACAAAAATGGCGGCCACAGGTTTGCTCGCTGTGCGACTCAGACTTAGGGAAAAATCATACAGACAAACTGACAGGTCTGAAACCTTCAAAACATATATGGAAGAACCCCTTCTACCTCTTTCTGGGTACCTCTGCAACAACTGTGTTGCCAAGTTTAATCGTTAATAAGTGAGTTACACAGTACAACCAGAAATTATTGAGAATTTAAAGATTGTAATGTTGTTATTTTTTCACTTATTACTCACGTATTAAATGTGAATATTAGCAGAACATAACTCCAGATTCAAAGACAGGTGAACAGTTAGTATTTTGTCAAGTCACCATGGGCAGCAAGGCAGTCTTCAATGCGGCGGGGCATACTACTGATTAAAGAAGTTAGAAAGTCGTGGTCCATGCTGTCCCCATATCGGACCACCTCTTCTTTCATTTCAGCAATATTTGTCAGATTTTTCTTATTGACACTTTCCTTCATAAGTCCCCAAACATTTTCTAATGGATTTAGGTCAGGGCTATAGCTTGGCCAATCTAATAATGTCATATTTTGGGTCCGAAACCAGGCCTGTGAATGCTTTGAACGATGTTTTGGGTCGTGGTCCTGCTGGAAATCCAAAAATTTGTATAGTGAGCACGTGAGCAGATGGAAGTAAATGTCCCTCGAGAACATCTGTGTACCGCTCACTGTTCATATTCTCTTCAAATACACAGAGAGGAGTTGCCCCTAACACAGATATGCCACCCCACACGTTAAATTTCGGACTGTACTTTGGGCGCTGATACAAAGGTTTTTCAGTTTGTTTGGTCCAGAATTTCAGTGTATTAGGAAACAGCCACACAGAACTTTCATCTGAGAAAATCACATTGTCCCAGTTAAAATTTCTATGCTGTAAGCACCAGTTCAACCTTCGCTCCTTTTGTTCAGGTTTCATGATCGGTGATGGAATTCCTCGACTTTTCTGCCAACCCATTGCTTGCAGCTCAGTTCTAATTGTCTCCTTACAGACAGCCACAGTTCCTCTATCAATCATATCCAGCCTTAAGTTTTCTAAACTCCTTCGTTTGTTTTTAGAAACAAGAATACCAAGCCGCCTCCTGTCACCGACAGTCAATTTTCTGGGCCTACCTGCGCCTCCCTGGTGCTCAATGCCATATCCATTTGCAATATTTTTCAAAACACGATACACAGTGGACAAAGGGATGCCTGTTCTACTTGAAATCACTTTAGCTGATCTGATGTCCTTGTTATAATACTCTAAAATCAACTTCTTCTTCTCTAAATCATCCATACTGAGGATCACTGAAAATGTCGTCTGCTAGCAAGTAAACAAAGGGGGGATAACTCTGCACAAACTAATGAAAAAGGATTAACGGAGTTGTCTCTCTTGAATGAAACCAAGCACTTGATAGCTGGTCAAGGTTGTTTATACTAGAAATCCAATTTAACATATTCCTAAAATTCTCAATAATTTCTGGTCATACTATATAATGAAAGCCTTGTGATTGGTACGCTCAACTTCCCAGCGTAGACACCCGATTGGATAAATATCCAGCAAAGGGAGGTAATACAATTATCGGACCGAGCTGTAGATGCATCCAGGGTACTAGTGGAGATTTATCGGAACATATACCTTGGAGATATCGAGGACGATACACAGTCGTATACGTAAACCAGAAAGTGAAGGCTATCCTAAACGTTAGCCATACAGCATCAATAAGTGAATTTTTAGTACATGTAATTAAATGAGAACTAAAATATTTAGATCGCTGCATGATCTACAGGTGAAAGGTATTCTTGACATAAAGTTCATTCCTAATGGCAGCAGTTCTTGTACAATACCTGTCGTTAAATGAGAACTAACACCAGTAAAATTACCCTTTGATTCTGAAGCGTGATAAAACATATCCCTTGTGAGCGAAACATCTACACAGTGCCAACATGCGATTCAGAATGGAGGAATAGTGTATGATAAATACACATGGGGTTTCTAATCAGAGTATATCACAAAAGGAGAGCCACACTTATTAAAAATTTACCTCGCTGCAATTTCGGCCATGATATTGCCCAGTATCTGTAAAGAGATGACACAATTCCACCACGCCAAGGTTATCAGAACATAGCTCATAGACATGAAATACAATCAGGGCAAATGATAAACTGAGTATATTTAGATTAGTGCTGAATGTATTCCAAGGTTTGACGTATCCTGGAACATAAATGTTTTGATCCACTGACTAACGGCATTAAAACCAGCCTATTTTTGGATACGTCAGTGCAAATTGAACCGTGAGTGCTAAGTTTATATATGTGTACATTCATGTCAATACGTTATTTGATTCGATCACGTTTTTGTGAATTAGATAGGGAATGATCTATCTGGACTTGACTAATTGCCAAGGTAGAGTAGAAGAAGAGCAGTATGTTTGTAAATATATATCGCTATTTGCAGTTGCAAGATGAGGCTCGATGAAGATGGGATGTGTGAGGATATCATTTAGCTCGATACTGGCGGGATAACGTTAATCAGCAGTGTCATTAACAATAGCTCACGCGTCTCCAAATGCACGCTTTCTGCGGGGCATGTTCTAAACGCTCAATGACAGAACCTTACTACTTGATTACATATGACATCAAACTACTCCATGTAGTTTGTCCAAGCTTCACAATAAAACAAAGCCATGTTTGTTGTTTGGCGCATCACTTAACAATAATCATTCGACAGCCTGTAAATAATCGAGCCTGCATCAGACCATCCAGTGATCAACATCATGAGCATTGATCTACGTAAGTGGGATACGATGTCCCAACCAAGTCAGTGAGCCTGAGCACTCGATCCTGCTAGTCGCCACTTGCGACGAGCATGGGTTACTGAAGATCAATTCTAACCCTTATACTCACGTGTAGAAATAGTCATGAACTAATTTAGATCGAACAAGGATCCATACAAGTAATGAAGGTCTGACTTAATGATCTACACACTTACAATTACCATTAACATTTTGTTGATCAGGATTAATGGAACAATGCGGGTTCGAGTCTCCATGTGGGTACAATATGTGAGGCCCATTCCTGGTGGATGTGGAAAGGGTTTTGTTGCTTCTATTATAAGCCGTGGTGTCTCCAAGTGGGTACAATATGTGAGGCCCATTCCTGGTGGAAAGGGTTTTGTCGCTTCTATTATAAGCCATGGTGTCTCCAAGTGATTTACAATGTGTTAATGTCCTTTCTATTCATGTCAGATGTCCCCAAGTGGGTACAATATGTGAGGCCAATTCCTGGTGGATGTGGAAAATGATGGGTGGTGGATGTGGAAAGGGTTTTGTCTCTATTTATAAGCCATGATGTCCCCAAGTGGGTACAATATGTGAGGCCCATTCCTGGTGGATGTGGAAAGGGTTTTGTCGCTTCGCTATAAGCCATGATGTCTCCAAGTGGGTACAATGTGTCAGGCCCATTCCTGGTGGATGTGGAAAGGGTTTTGTCGCTTCTATTTATAAGCCATGATGTCTCCAAGTGGGTACAATATGTGAGGCCCATTCCTGGTGGATGTGGAAAGGGTTTTGTCCTTTCTATTTATAAGCCATGATGTCTCCAACCATACAATGTGTCAGGCCCATTATTGGATGTTTTTTTGTGCTTCTAAGCCATGATGTCTTAAAAACTTAAATAGGGTTTTGAATATGTTTAAAAATATCAGATTTGGCTAGAGATACCTATATTTGCAACAATGGTCAGTTTTCCTCACACATGTATTCATGATGCTATTTAATAAGATTGAGTTTAGTTTTACGCCGCATGTATTCATGATGTAATAAGATTGAGTTTAGTTTTACGCCGCACTCAGCAATATTCCAGCTATATGGCGGTGGTCCGTAAATAATCGAGTCTGGACCAGACAGTCCAGTGATCAACAGCATGAGCATCGATCTGCGCAATTGGGAACCGGCGACATGTGTCACATGTGTAGGAGGTGTATCAGGAACTAGCTGTAAGTGCAATAGGGACATGGTCCCAATAAGGACATGGTCATCTTGAATTATCTAGTAAAATATTTGTTCAATAGATTTGTATCTCTGGCAGATCTCGTGTTGAATATGTTCCTGATGCAGGATGTAAATACGAAATTATACTCCTAACCAAAACGTAAGAGAATTCTAATGCATCAGTGCTGTTTTATACACAATACTGTGGTGGTACATCTGAACGGAAAGACAAATCATACCGAAATTTCACAGTATTCATTTAGAGAACATGCAAATAGAAGCAAAGTCTGTGTGACTTCAAATTACCCCAAAATGTTAAAAGTAAAAGTGCAGCTTTACGACCGAGGGAAAAATACATCAAATGGTTGAAGCGTGCAATAAGACCTGGGTCTGACAGTCCGTCTCCTCCCCACAAACGCCATCACCACTACCACCACTACCACAACTGTCACCACAGGATTTGTTTCTGAGGATAGTCAACACATTCAAAGTGTAAAGGCGATATGAAATGTTAGCCCGCTGAAACAGCTTGAAGATAGGCGGCACGAGGAAAATCGACTGTGAATTATGCCGTAGCTTACACACACGGAATAACCTCCAGCAGCTTGGGTAAGTGGAGGCGAGAAGTTATTATAAGAACTTTACTTCCTGGTATCACACTTAACTGTGTACTTTTCTGGTACATTTCTTGCTTGTAATTACCTTGCCTGTATACACTCTTCAAAAGAAGAGACGCATACAGTCCGTTTGAGACAAAATGATACCGATGAATTGCAATCTAACACAAAAACAAATATACATAATAAAATCAAACCAACGAGGACTGCAATAAAGACAACAGACCAACTCAAGAAGAAATTTGCATAATATTTGTGACAAAAATAAAAGTTGTTAAAGAAACTATCATCATTTATTTGTGCGTTTTCCCAGTTTGTGACAAGGGCGCATTGGCAACTAAAGGAACAGCGAGATGCACGTGCGTTAACGGGTTCTCAACACATTTTTGAGCTGGCGAGATGACACGTGCCCCAGCTGCACAGGCAATGCGCTGTATGTGCCAAGTAAGTAATTGCATCACCTGGGTCATCTTCATCATCTTCAGAAATTGAAGAAATTATAGACTTTCATTTTCTCTCACTTTGTCAATCAGCAGTAATCACATGTCTCTGACGTCACTAATGCACGTGCATCTCGCTTTTTGTCATTCGTTTTGGCCGCCTTTAAGCTGGAGAGTCGCAGTCTGCAGTTGCCGATATTTCAACGTTCATCAGACCACCATATCTTGCCTTTGGGATCGTTTCCTGCAGCCGGCTTCCGCCCGAGAAGCGGCCATCCAAGAGTTACCACCCAAGCCCAGGACCTTGCGTCATCTTCTTGCCATGGAGACTGCACAACGCATCCCTGGTTTGAGAATGATTTCCGACCAAACTGTCAGGAATCGATTGTGTGAAGTGGGGATTCGACCAAGAAAGCCAGTTGTTGTCCCTATTTTGTGTGACGAAGTCCCTGCACGTCACATGCTTCCGATTATGGACCGACAGAGGGACTTGTTCCAGCATGACAATGGTACTTCACATACAACACGGCCCGCTTCCTTGCCAATTCTAACGTCAATGTCTTGCTATGGTCTTCCCGATCGCCAGATCTAAACCCTATAGAACACCTGTGGGATGAAGTCGATCTACGCGTACATCAAAAGACGCCTCAGACGCTTCCACAACTGGCCATCGCTTTGCAGGAAGAGTGGGAAAGAATTCCGCAAGAGCGACTTCATCGACTTATCCAGGTGCCGATTGTTGCCAATGGTTGTCATACAAAGTACTGACTAACGCCATCTTGTGGACTCAAGTGAGTGACTGAGTTTATTTTTACGCCGCACTCAGCAATATTCCAGCTATATGGCGGTGGTCTGTAAATAATCGAGTCTGGACCAGACAATCCAGTGATCAACAGTATGAACATCGATCTGCGCAATTTGGAACCGATGACATGTGTCAACCAAGTCAGCGAGCCTGTCCACCCGATACCGTTAGTCGCCTCTTACGACAAGCTTGGGTTACTGAAGATCAATAGTCTAACCCGGACCTTCACGGGTCTGTGGACTCAAGTAAACAGACACACAACAATACAGGCTACTGGCTACAGGCGCACTCTTTGTCTATAGACGTGTGAATTTTCACCACTGAAATTGCATGAAATAATTGCTCTTAAACTAACGCAATAAATTCTTCTAAAAATAACATATGCGTTTCTTTCTTTTTTTGAAGAGTGTATACATGCAGCGGTGGGGCAGGGTATACAGTTATACTCACATGGTGATTCTTGAATACATGTGCATGATCTATATGGAATCCGAACCGATTAAGAAGTGAATGCGCTGGTATTTATTGGTCATAAAACCTAAAACGCATATGCGGTGGCCATTACACAGTTGGAAGAAAGAAGATAAAAGTGCACACATGCATACAAACCAGTGAGTGTTCACCTAAATCTTCGACATCCATGCACACACGCCAACCATTAATGCACAGAGTTATGAAGCGAATATTTCAGCCCACAGCTGGATGCTGCATTACGGAACCGGATTTGAACGAAATAGAGATTCGTTAATGTTAAACCGATAGACGCCTTTTCAAAGGATCAGAGTCAGGAACCTCTGTACAAAAGGAAATGCAATTTGTTTTTAACAGGGGGAAGGAATACTTCCCTAGGCTTCCAGTGAGACAAGTACTACTTTTTTCCTTCTTAAAAAACACCAGAAAATTACCTATAAACACAGTGTTGTATTTGGGAAAAATGGTCTCAATGTTCACGCATATGTTTCTGCCATCTGCAGAAACGATATTATTTCTGGTCCGTGTTGTCTGACTTTATCAGTCCTTTCGAACGAATTTAGATGTAGTATCGAGTCACAGTCCGACTGCGAAATACACCGCTTGTCAGGTAACTACTTCACCCCCAGTGTATGGATATGTGAACGAATAGGCTCAATAACCAGCAATATACTTAATTTACTACCTGAAAATCGAAGCTATATTAAATACAGAAAGGAATTGATTTTGTTGAATACCATCAACAGACTGTGATTATATTGCTCCCATTGCAGATTAAGTTCAGAGGTTTATGGGAGTGGGCGAGGAAATTAGATTTAACAACATTTTAAAGTGAATTTCATTTCCCCTTAATGTCCCTTTAATGTTGGAGGCGACTATAAAGTGATTCAGTGCCCAAGTGCGCGAAAGGGGCCAGACGTTTGCCATTTGAATAAAAAATATGCCACCCACGATTTTTGTCCCCGTTATGCCGCGCCATGCGTCGTGGCAAGGCCGTTCGTATCTACTCGTCCCTTTCCGTAACCTGAAAGTAGACTCGTACACCTCTCGTAGCCATTTTATTGAACGTGGCTCTGTCTGAGCGCAAAAGCGCAGAG